CCAAGAGCAATTCAGGTATAAAGAAAATGGAAAACACGCAGGAATAGTGGCAGTCACAGCATGGGGAAAGGCGAGTGTGTGTGGACCCGTCAAGGAGTCAAGGGTTGGCTTTTCCCGTCAATAACACATCAAATACCAGCTCTTCTTTGGCCAACTCATGTATTTCAGACAGCACCGACTGAGCACTGACTTTATGTATTTATTTATTTTTTGAGACAGAGTCTTGCTCTTTTGCCTAGGCTGGAGTGCAGTGACTTCTGCTCACTGCAACCTCTGCCTCCTGGGTTCAAGCGATTCTCCTGCCTCAGCCTCCTGAGTAGCTGGAATTACAGGTGTGCACCACCATGCCCAGCTAATTTTTGTATTTTTAGTAGAGACGGGGTTTCACCATGTTTGTCAGGTTGGTCTCGAATTCCTGACCTCAAGTGATCCACCCACCTCGGCAAAGTACTGAGCATTGACTTTATACAAGAACACCCACCTAGGAGCCGGGCATTTAAATACGAATAAGACACATTACCTGGAGAATTCAGAACCTAGTGGGCTGAACAATACACACAGTCTCGTGGTCCGAGGACTGCACTTTGAGTCACGTCCTGTTATTGGCCTGTTTCGAAATGTCCTTTATTTTATGAAGTGACGGTGGTGGGAGATGGAAGCAGCCTGTTGTTTTTCTAACATCTTATTTGGCAAAGTAAAAAAATTTGGCAGTCCTACATTGGCCTAACAGATTTACTGAAATGTCACTTGTTTTTGAAATCCCTCATCCCTCAATCCCAGAATCTGACCCTAGAGGAAAAACAAGATAGTTATTAGGATGCAAAGGTTATTGCTCCAACATGATTCCCATATGTATTAAAATGGGTGAAACAAGCTAAATTGGTTACAATTAGCCTAGGATAGTGAGGCCTCAAGGGGGAACCGGTTTCTGTAATTCTGTCAGGCCCAGGGTTCAGAAAGCTGAACAGAGGCTTTGGCTAAAGGTGTTTTATTCCTGACAAGCCTGGAAGGGGGTCTTGGCCTGAGGCCCTGGGGCCTCGCTCACAAGGCAGTTTTTATCTGTGGCTTTCTGTCATTTGAAAGAATAAATCTAAAAGAAATAGCAGATTTTGGCTGCGGTCTCATCTGTTCCTGGGAAACTGTGATCGTAGGCACCTCTCTGGGTGTCAGTTTCTTTATCAGTCACATTCTAGCAAGAGATAACACTTACCTAGTGCTTACTAAGTGCCAGGCACTATTTGGAGGACTTTGGATATCTACTTATTTAATCCCACAACTGTATAAGAATAGATCCTGTTAATTTTCCCATAAAAGTAATTTGCCCAAAGTCTCACACAGTGGTCGGGGGTGGGGCCAGAATCTGAATTCTGATCTCCCTATTGTCAAGTTCACACCATTTCTTTTTCCATGATTTATTTTCCCATATTCTATTTTAAATCAAATTATTAATTATATCACTATGGTGATGCGGGAATAACTTGTCCATTTTTTTTTTTTTTTTACAACAGATAAATTTCTAATGTGACATTGAGCAGAACTGTGGTGTTCTCCAAGGCCAGTCTTTGTCCATAAATACTGAAATACTGAAAAAGGATGATAGAATGCATATTCCACAACAACTTCAAAGGCAGCGGTGTATGAATTTTAACATTATTAAGAACTGCTTTAGAAATTCCAGTTGCTAGCATTTTCCCACTCCTAAAGCACTGTGAGTTGAACATACAATTCTGTTGTGTCTTTTTATTTTTGAGACAGGGTCTCTCTCTGTTGCCCAGGCTGCAGTGTGTGGCACAATGATAGCTCATGGCAGCCGTGAACTCCTGGGCTCAAGAGATCCTCCCAGCTCAGCCTCCTCAGCAGCTGGGACCACAGGCATTTGCCACCATGCCCAGCTTCTGTTGTGCCTTAAGTGACTATTTAACGATTGAAATATTGCAGAAAGAGGGAGTGAGAGTAAGAGGAAAAGATAAAAGGCCTTTTCAGCACCTGCAGTCCTCCCAGGGCTGCTCAGACTGCATTGGAGTTCCACTGAGAGCCTTTCCAAACTCCCACATCCGAGCCAAATGCAACCAAATAACATGAGAGCAACCACAGAACTGTATTCACAAACGTAAACGAAAGGGCAGGGCCAATTTAAAAACATTATTTAGGGAAAATCTTGAAGGACTTGTCGTGCATGGCAGGAAATAGGACATTTTAAATTTTTAAATTTTTATTTTTTTGAGACGAGCCTTGCTCTGTCACTCAGGCTGGAGTACAGGTGTGCGATCTCGGCTCACTGCCACCTCCGCCTCCCAGGTTTAAGCGATTATCCTGCTTCAGCCTCCCGAGTAGCTGGGTTTACAAGTGTCCAGCACCACACCCAGCTAATTTCTGTATTTTTTATTTTATTTTTTTGAGACGGAGTCTTGCTCTGTCGCCCAGGCTGGAGTGCAGTGGCGCAATCTCGGCTCACTGCAAGCTCCGCTCCGGGTTCACGCGCATTCATCCTCCCGAGTAGCTGGGACTACAGGCGCCCGCCACTGCGGCCCGGCTAATTTTTCTATTTTGTATAGGACGGAGTTTCACCATGGTCTCGATTTCCTGACCTTGTGATCCACCTGCCTCGGCCTCCCAAAGTGCTGGATTACAGCGTGAGCCACCGGCCCAGCCAATTTCTGTATTTTTCTTAGTAGAGACGATTTTCACCATGTTGGCCACGCTGGTCTTGAACTCCTGACCTCAGGTGATCCACCCTCCTCGGCCTCCCAAAGTGCTGGGATTACAGGCATGAGCCACTGCGCCCAGCCAGGACATTTTAAATACTTTTTTCAGTAATTAAAACTTTTCGTGAGTAAATACTTTCTTTAAGAAGCGTATAATGGAGGTAGCTAACCCTTTCTATGGTCCTCTGAGGGTGTTTGCAGCAGGTGTACGCTCCATTCTTGATGCTTTACTATGCTTTGCCTTGCCAAGCGTGCTCACCACATGCCAGCAGACCGAACGTGGGACGTCCTGTCCTTGGACAAGGTAAGAAGGAGGTTAAGTACCATCTTACTAGGAGCATCAGCCCTCCTCCTCCCGGGTCTCTCCAGCGTCTGGCCTGGACGACCTGGGCCCTCTGCTGGGTACTCCCTCTCTTCTAGATGTGCTGTGAGGCTCTTCCTCGTCTGAAGCTGAACTTTCGCAGGCCCAGGGCCCTCTCCTCTCTGCGGGCGCTCCTCGTGTGCTCTGCATTCCCAGGCTCTGCATACCGTCAGCAGCGGATGACCGGTACACCGGGGCCATCTGCCTCTCTTCCGAGCTCCAGGCTCCGACAACAGACTGACTGCTTGATGTCTCCACATGGCTCTCCATTTGGCATCTCAAACTCTGCTTCTCCAAAGCAGAGCTGGATCTCTTCCCTAAGTCTCCTAGATGTCCCCATCGCAGTAAATGGCACAGTGGTTCACCCTGTTCCCTCCTGGATCCCTTTCCTCCACCTCCCTCATTAAGTCCACCAGTTAGTTCTGCCCCTTCAGCTTCCAGCACTCACCTGTATGGCTACCCTGGTCCAACCCAAGGAACCTCACAGGGTCTCTGCCTTCTACATTCTATTCTCTCTGACAACCTCACGCTTGGAGCCGATGGCTGGGATGGCAGGTCGCTGTAGCTGAAAGATGACCCAAGTTCCTTGCTGTGGTCTTCAGCAGCCCTGGGGGTGTCTGACCCCATTGACCTCCCTCACTTCTTTATGGTCACTCTTCCTTTCCCCACCCACGCTTAGTGTCTCCTCCTCCTCCTCCTCCTCCTCCTCTGGCCCTTGCCATGGGCCCCCTGGAGCCTGGCTCTCTGGGCTTTGCTGGGTGCTTCAGACCCATCCCATGGGGGATGGTGACTGGATGTAGAACCTAGTAAGCAGGAGCTTGGGCCAACACAACCATTCCCTCCTGGAAATAAACATTCACAGTGCAGCTCCACTGACTGGTTCCAAACACTGTGAATTCCCAGATTTTATGCTATGGAATCTCTTCCATGTCTATGAATTTTTAGAGTTTAGAGATTTAAAATGTAAAATATTTCATTTCTTGCTATCCACAGAGTTACATAAAACAACTAGTCAAATACAATTTTTAATTATCAAAACAGCAAACATATCTAGAACTTCTTAACAATTTCACATTGTTCTAGGGACCATTATTTTCTAATAGTAATAGAATATATCTAACACAGCAAAACGAAATGGAAAAGTAAGTGTTTCAGGGAAAAACAATGAACCAGCCCTGGCACCAGTATCCTTTTCCTTTTTTTTTTTTTTTTGAGACAGAGTCTCACTCTGTTGCCCAGGCTGAAGTGTAATGGTGCAATCTTGGCTCACTGCAACCTCCGCCTCCCAGGTTCAAGTGATTGTCCTGCCTCAGCCTCTCGAGTAGCTGGGATTACAGGCACCCACCACCACGCCTAGCTAATTTTTTGTATTTTTAGTAGAGACGGGGTTTCACCATGTTGGCCAGGCTGGTCTCGAATTCCTGACCTCAGATGATCCACCTGCCTTGGCCTCCCAAAGTGCTACGATTACAGGTGTGAGCCACTGGGCCCGGCTTTCTGGTATACTTCTAATGTGTACAGAATGATCACATTACTTTAAGAGCCAGGCCTTGATCACAAAGTTCGTATTATTTTAAAATTTAATTTGAGGCCCCTGCTCCAAAATCAAAACATAACAATAACTATGTAAGTTCACTTTAACTTACCAATATGCATATAGCTCTACATAAAAGTCAAAAAATGAAGAGAACTGAAAACAACAATCAGGACAAAATGAACAAAACTTTCGGGTTCTCAGAAATGTTGATTCTCACTGGATTTTCAATTTTCCATCTACTAAACATGTCTCATTTTAAAAGTCGATTTCTGTCATAAACGGTTAATTATTCATTCCTTGCACGCAAGAAACTTCAGAAGTACTGAGAAGGCAGCATAATCATTCATGCAATCATATTCTTCAAAGGGCCCTGTAACTTGTACAGGACACAACTTACTATTGCGCACAGTCAATCAGCTGGTATTCATTGGATCTCTCAAAGCATGCCTTCACTCCTTCATCGTCCCAAAGCTTTTTCACATGGTCAAAGAATTCCTAAAGTTTAAAAGAGTTACAAATAAAAAAAAAATGTATAATCACCTTTTAAAACGTTAAAAGGAAAAAGAAACTGCAAAAACTTTTTTTTGCAAGTAGCATTCAGATTTTCCTTGTGGAAGTCTACATAGTAAAATGCACCAACTCTATGTTTAGTGTGATAAAAAATGCATGCATATTATCATTACTCAAGTCAAATTGCAAAATATATATATTTTTTCTTGAGACAGAGTCTCGCTCTGTCACCCAGGCTGGAGTGCAGTGGCGCGATCTTGGCTCACCGCAACCTCTGCCTCCCAGGTTCAAGCGACTCTCCTGCCTCAGCCTCCTGAGAAGTTGGGATTATAGGCGCATGCCACTGTGACTGGTTAATTTTTGTATCTTTAGTAGAGATGGGGCTTCACCATGTTGGCCAGGCTGGTCTCAAACTCCTGACCTCAAGTGATTCGCCTGCCTCGGCCTCCCAAAGTGTTGGGATTACAGGCGTGAGCCACCGCGCCTGGCTCAAAATAGTTTTATCATTCTGGAAAGTCCCCCAAAATGCAAATTATGTCAAAGTTAATATCATACATTAACTATAAATACAATTAACAGCATAATTCTAAAGTATTTAGTATTCAGTAACTTAACTTGTTGAACTGCCATCTCAGCCATGAAAAAGAATGCATACTATCAGGACAAGTTTTGTCTTAGCTTCTGTCTTTTACGTTTTCTATGTGAGTTATGATTAGGAATGGACATGGTTGAGTAGATGAATTTGGCCCAGATGTATTAGGTACATAAAAAAGGAACTTTAAAAACTACACACTTTGGGGATGATAATTTATTTCTTTTTTCATTTAAAAAAAAACTAGGAGTTAAGTGTGAATTGTGATTTTTCGTTCATTCCAGAGCCATGAGGGCACTGTGCTCAACTTCACCTATTATTATGGCAAGTAAGATGCTCCGAAAGAATGTTTTTCATCTCAAAAGTAAATGAAAGGCTTATGAATTCATATTGGTAATATCACCCAAAAGGGCGATGGAAGCAAATGACTACATTAGTAGCTAAACACAAAGGAGTTCTGTAAGTGTTCACAAAACACTTTGTGGGGACATTCACACACTGCCCACGGCAGTTATTTGCCTGCCTTTGATCTTCAGGGTTCTCAGGCTCCATGGCCTGTCCCAGGGACTCCTCCTTCATGCTTATCAGCTGACACATTTCTAGGAATCCACAGGGATTCTTTGCAGGAAAAACAGAAGGACTGGCACTTTTTCTTAACGACTCACAATTCCATACAAAGGTGGATCCAAGCACTGTGAGGGGTTTAATGCTCACAATTTGGCGGAAGGGCTGTCCTTCTTACTTTTTGGTGTTGGTTTTTTTTTTGTTTTATTTTTTTTTTGGAGACGGGAGTCTTCGCTCTGTCGCCGGGGCTGGAGGTGGCAGTGGCCGGATCTCGCTCACGTGCAAGCTCCGCTTCCCGGGTTCTGGCCATTTCTGCCGCAGCCTCCAGTAGCTGCGGATACAGGCGCGGGGGCCTCGCCCGGCTAAGTTTTTTTGATATTTTGGTAGTAGGACGGGGTTTCACCCGTGTTCGGCCAGGCTGTTCGGTCGTCTGACATCCGTGATCGCGGCCGCGTGCTCGGCCTCGCCAGGTGCTGGGGATTACGGCTTGAGCCAGCGCGCCCCGGCCGGAAGGCTGTCTTTGAAAAAAGAGATGCAAAACGATGAATACAAAATTAGGTATAAATCCTTGGAAGGGGAGTAGAAGTGAGGCATCCAGAGTGTAGGCTTTATTAGCATTCAGAAAACCCAATTCTGATTTCACAGTCTCAGGGACAATCTTGTAAGTTATGGCATAGTCTGTATCTATATCTGTCCGTCACCATTATCGACAAACCCAAATGGTTCCCAGTTGACAAAAAAAGAGACATTCTCCCCCTGAAGGGGGTGGCTAAACCTCTCAGTTATCATCTTGTTTCCCTAGGTTTATGTTTCCTTCTGGAATCTTCCTGTGATGCTCCCATTAACCCAGTAAGGGAGTTTGTAGGCTTCCTTAAAAAATTTCCTTCGAAGAGCCATCCAAGTCCATACACTTACACTTCACACACACACGTGTAAAGATCAATCCTGCATTATGCCGTTATCAAGATGGCCATGGAGACAGTGACACCGCTGCCTCATGGTGATGGATCTTCCAGTTGCCAGCTCTGGGTACCTGATTTCTCTGGACACGACAGACGCATAAGATACAAAAACTATAGACTCACGCTACATGAAAACAAATTTAACTGGATTTACTCAAACACAGGAACCACAGATACCAGATTTTAAAAAGGTTCACATAATAATTATTCACTATAATAGGTTTCCAAATGCAATTTAAAAAACGACCAAGACTGGAGTAATTAATCTAAACTTGGCCAAAAAAAAAAAAAAAAAAAAAAACAATATTGCTCCAGGCCCTGCAGGGCAGAAAGGGCTCCAAACCCCGTGGGGTGCGGTCGTGTGGTCACCCTACTACCCAACCAGCCATGGAAGTAAGCCCCACACGGTGCTGACCCCAGAGCTAACAGGCATGTGGCTAGAGGTCAGTGAGGGGGTTGAGAAATTGATCTTTTTTATTTTTAATATTTATTTTTTGAGATGTGGTCTCACTCTGCCCCGTCTCGCAAGCTGGAGTGCAGTGGTGCAATCTCGGTTCACTGCAGCCTCGACCTCCTGGGCTCAAGCAATCCTCCTGCCTCAGCCTCCCAAGTAGCTAGGACTACAGGCGCGTGCCACTACGCCCGGCTAATTTTTGTATTTTCCTAGAGACGGGGTTTTACCATGCTGCCCAAGCTGGTCTCCAACTCCTGGGCTCAAGTGTTCCTCTGCCCTCAGCCTCCCGAGCAGTGGGGACGACAGGTGTGTACCACAATATCCAGCTAATTTGTTCGTTTGTTTGTTTAGAGATTTAGCGGTGGTGGTGTGGGGTGGGGAGGGAGGGCTCACAATGTTGCCCAGGCTGGTCTCGAACTCTAGGCGCAAATGATTCCACAGGCGCGCACAGCATGCCCCGCCTGAGAAACCCGGTCTTGAGTAGAAGCCCGAAGCCGGCCTGTGGAAAGCCAGGCGCGCTGAGCCCCTGGGCCTCTCCGGAGCCGCCCTCGCCCCGCGCCTGCGCTGCCACATGCATCCGCCGCTCTGCACGCACAGGACCTCCTGGCAGGCGGAGGAGAAACTGAGGCTCCCATCAGACGCCCTTGCTTTTCGACTCACTTAGCACCCGAGAAACGGAGGCCCACGGAGGGGCGGCCATGGCCTGGGCGCGTTCTGGCCTCCGGGCCACGCTGGATGCCGGCCTGGTCTCGCCAGAGGGCGGATGTGCGCTGCAGGGAGGCGGGCGGTCTGTACTTAAGCCCATGGTGAGCTGTAGAGGGGAGGTATTCTAGCCCCGACGCATTTACTGGGCCCTGCTCAGGGACCTCCCGGCTCCCTCCTGCAGAAACATCAGCATCACCGCCCCACCTGCCTCTGCAAACAGCGCACCCCCGCAGCTCCCCAGCTTGGAGGCCCTGCCCAGCGGGGCTGGGATTCTCAGCGCCCCCAGGCCTCAGCTTATTCCTTCAGGCTTGGCTCCTGCTGTTTTCTCATTTCCTTCGCAACACCCTTTCTCATTTGGCGTTAATTTCCTGCATGTCACAGTAAGGGCCTTACTCACATAATAACCCCTATTTAAAATAGTCCTTAGGTAGTTCTTATTTTGTCGAGGGTACTGTGCACACAGCACTTTATCACATGATCGTCTTTAACTCTCACAAAGCTGAAAGAGGTGCCTGTTATCACTGTGCTCAGTACTTTAACACATGGTCGTCTTTAACTCTCACAAAGCTGGAAGAGGTGGCTGTTATCGCTGTGCTCAGAGAAGTTAAGCAATCCACCCAAGGGCACACAGCGGGTAATGGCAGGATATATTCCACTGCCTGTGTTTTTAACCACTATGCATACTACCACCTTTTATTATATATATTAAATCATTTTCTATTCTTTAGTTTTCTACTGGGTTTCTTTAAAACCACTATTTTAGAAAATCCACTCTTGACTGGATAAAGTACAGGGGATCTCGTACAAGGGTACCTTGTTAAAGCAACACAAGACACTCAAGAGGATTCCCGCAGGTCTGCAAAGCTCAGTAACTTCTGTGGTCCTTCCGCGATTCACAAATACACCGCAAAGATGCCAAGTGTAAATTCCGCTTATGGGATAAGCCTTAATGTCCTGTGGTTGGTAAGATTCACTAGTGAGGACTGGAACTGCTTTATAGGGGACTAAACTCTAGGTCTGAGCTGACGCCTGAGAGAATTGCAGAGAACTGCTTGAACCAAGAATCAAGACAGAATTTCTGGAGCATGTGTTGATAGCAAGAGTGAAACAGGGATGGTAGGCACTGTGATTTTTAAGTAGATGATTTAGATAACATTGAAGAAACACAAAAGCGACAACAATCTCTCTTCACTTCAGCTTCCTCATGGGTAGATGTGTTGGGCTAGCGTACAGCTAAGTCCCCATGATTCCACATATTTACTTTTTAAAGGGTTCTAAAAACTTCATGGTGAATTCCAAGGCTGCTGTTGCCATTGTTACTTCAATGTTTTACATGGAAAACTTTCAAACTTATAAAAATAGAGAGAATGAATCTCCAGGTACCCATTACTCAGGTTCCACATTTATCAACACATGGTCAATTTCTTTTCATCCATATCTCATCCCCTTTTACCCTGCCTTTATTATTTTGAAACAAATATTCTATTTATAAGGCACTATGTCATGCTATTTCAACATTATTTCTTTTTTTTTTTTTTTTTTTGAGACGGAGTCCGCCTGTCACCAGGCTTGGAGGTGCAGTGGCCGGATCTCACTCACGCCAGCCCGCTCCCGGGTTCACGCCCATTCTCCTCTCGATCTCCTGACCTCGTGATCCGCCCGTCTCGGCCTCCCAAAGTGCTGGGATTACAGGCTTGAGCCACCGCGC